GTGGATCAGTCCTACTTTTCGCATGTTGACGCATTGTTTTATTGCAAATTTTATGAGTTAAATTTTAGTTAACACTAATTCAAATGTTTATTAATTGTTAACACATGATTTTAAATTGTTAAATTTTTGTTGAATTAAAATACCCAGAATTAATAAATGTTATTTATCATTGAAACTGAAGCTTTAAGAGTTTCTATTTATTTATTACCAAAAATTCTAATAAAAAGATGATTAATTAACATTTAGTCACATTATACCTATAGAAATGAAAGAGGAGGGGATATGGATAGGAAAGTGAATTTGAAAATCTGTCCGTAAAGCCTTATAAAAGTTGCAAAACGTCTCAGTCTCGTAATTTTGAAATGCAATGTTTTTTAGTATGATTTTTTAAGTGATCCACCACTGGAGCAATCTATAACCATGACTGGTGCAAACAGTGATCCAGAATAGGATCATTGACAAATTATCTTTGATGGAGCATTAAAGTAAGGCCATGGCTATTCGTCCGGCTAGTCGGAACTTTAACATGAAAATTTAAAGATCCGGCTGCTCACACTGTCAACCGGAACTTTAGCCATATCGAATGAAGATCTGGCTACTGTCAGTCGGAAGAATAAATTAGGGATCCGGCTAGATATAATTTTACTATATGTTTGGAAATAATTTAAAAAATTTATCTAATGATGGTCAGTTAGTATAATTTGTATTATTTTATTATATATATATATTATTTTTAATTATATTTTTATTAATAATTGTATTAAGAATATGAAAAAGAAAAATTTATATTTATTATAATATTATAATTATTATTATTATATATTATAATATTTTATTTATAATATAAAATTTTCTTATCAGTTTGAAATTTAGCGGGCGTTTAGTTGTCTGTTCGACTATCGACAAATAGATGAACGATTTATCGATTTTCGACTATGAGACAACTTCATTATTTATAGCAAAAATCAAGTTTATGCATGTTTCGAACGGAGTGTCAAATGTGATCTGTGGTTAGCGGCAAAAAGTGTATTTTTAATAAAATATATAAATTAGTTCAAAATGGCTAGTAGTGAAACGGCACAACCTAAAAGTAAGTATTTGCATCTGGATTGTTCTGAGTGATATTCATTTAGCAATTATGATTTAAAAAAGAAAAAATTTTGAATTTATGCGTCTACCTATCTATTTCCCCTACAATGTCCATCAATACATTTTTTATAAATTAAGTTTTTTGCTTATTTATTATTGGGAATTTCCACTACTTCTCAATCCAGTAAATTAAAAATTTCAAATCCTGATTTTCATCCGAAAAATAACTTTCTTCTTTTGAACAGTCTGTTTTTTTGTTCATGTGACGCAATTTCACATATTTTTGTTGATAAATTAAGAAAAAATTGGTAATTTTTTCACATTAACAATCACAAGAGTTATGTAATTATCATTGATTCTTTTAGGCACCCTAGTCGAAGTAAAAAATGAAGACATTTTAAAAGTCGGCGATTGCTTCACATCTTTTGAAAAACTGAAGCAGAAATTAGATGATTTTCAAAGAGCAACAAGTACGAGTTTTTTCATTCGAGATTGCTGCACAACAAGTGCAAGTAAAAAACAAGAAATAAAAAGGGAAATAGATCAACTATTGAAGTATTATAGAATAAAATACAGCTGTGTGAAAGGCGGAAAAAAATTTAAATCTAAGGGAAAAGGAATGCGAGAGTCTGCGTAAGTTATTGACTTCTTTATTAAGTAATAATGGTATTTAACTTTAAAATTTTTAATATTTATTTTTAAATAATATGTAAACAAATTTAAATTGTATAATAACTATATATTTTTTATATTTAATATAATTTAATACTTGTTGAAAAAATAAATAAATAATAGTTTTTATTGTACGGAAAAATAAAAATGTTTGTGTGAATTTTTAATAAAAAAAAATGTAGCTAATTAACTTATAAATTGTGAAAAAATTATATATTTTCAAACAGTAATGATATTCCCGCGTTAATGCACATTCCAAAAACATACGTATAAAATTGGCGAGCAATATGTTTAAAATGTACATATACGTATTACAGGACTACCAAGGAATCATGTGAAGGCTTTTTCAATTTTGTGGCAAACGAGGAAGGGAACGCGTTAATTTTATCAAAAGTAAATTACGAGCATAATCATCAAGTGACTCAAGTAAGTTATATTTTATTTATTTTTTTGCACTTTTTTGTAAAAAAAATTTAAATTACTCTAAAATTTGAAAGTTTAATTAAATAAAAAATTTTTCTTTATTTTTAATATTTTCAAAAATTACAATTAAAAAAAATTAATTATATCTACTAGATTTATATTCATTCGTTGATAAATAAAGCAATATTTTATAATAAAATTTGAGATAAAAATAAAATTTTTTAAATTTGTTTATTTTTAATACACTTACAATATAATTTTAATTTGTAAATATCTATGAAAATAATATAAAATTGACGTTTCTTTTTTTCATAAGGATTTAAACTTATTATTTAAATTTTCGAAATGAAATTTAATCTACGATTCAATCCAATACACGAAACAAAATATGTGCCCACTGAATCAAAGTCAAATAAAATACGCATACTCAAAGGTCAAGGGGATATTATGATTTCGATTTATCTATACTGAAAAACCATTCTAGTTTTTGCACGCCTAAAAACAGTTTTGCAAAGCAAAACCAGAGTTGTTTTTTCTTCATAAAAATGTATCAATTTTATTTATTTCAAAATATGCATTAAAATAAAAAATAAAAAAATTTGTAAATTGTAGTTAATAATAAATAAAAAATTTTTCTTTATTTTTAATATTTTCAAAAATTACAATTAAAAAAAATTAATTATATCTACTAGATTTATATTCATTCGTTGATAAATAAAGCAATATTTTATAATAAAATTTGAGATAAAAATAAAATTTTTTAAATTTGTTTATTTTTAATACACTTACAATATAATTTTAATTTGTAAATATCTATGAAAATAATATAAAATTCACGTTTCTTTTTTTCATAAGGATTTAAACTTATTATTTAAATTTTCGAAATGAAATTTAATCTACGATTCAATCCAATACACGAAACAAAATATGTGCCCACTGAATCAATGTCAAATAAAATACGCATACTCAAAGGTCAAGGGGATATTATGATTTCGATTCATCTATACTGAAAAACCATTCTAGTTATTGCACGCCTAAAAACAGTTTTGCAAAGCAAAACCAGAGTTGTTTTTTCTTCATAAAAATGTATCAATTTTATTTATTTCAAAATATGCATTAAAATAAAAAATAAAAAAATTTGTAAATTGTAGTTAAATATGCATATTTATTATGCATATTCCAAGAAAAATAATTTGACACTTTGAAATCGATAATCGTTTAAAAAATGTCAATAGTACAGCTGTTTATAAAAAAGTAGCTAAAAAATTAAAAACTCCATATTTTTGTTATTTTCAAAAATTTCAAAAAATACTTAGTTTTTCTGGTGGTAGTTGTGACATATAATTATATTTTGTTTTTAGTTTTTCTTTTCTCACACACCAAGTGGCAGAAGACTGGATCCAGTCCTCGATTCTAATTGTATCAAAGACATTGATGTGATGCTAGAGTATAAAGTTTCAACTAGAGAAATCCAAAATAAAGTGTTCAATGCCACTGGGAAAAACATTTTGGCTAAAGACATTCAAAATCGAAAGACCAAAATAACTCCGAAAGGTAGTGATTTGAATAACCTGAACCAAACAGTCAGTCTTCTAGAAAAATATGGTAAGAAGTACATATTTTGTTTTCATTAGGTTTATTTGCAAATTTTAAAATAATGCAGTTAAAAATATATTTTTCTACTTTTTGTTAAAAAAAATACATACATATTTCAATCATTTTATTTCATTCACTTTATTGATATCTATATAAATAAAGTACATAAATACATTAAAGTGAAAAATCAAAATTATGAGTAACCAAAATAATTAAAATCAATTACATTTCAATTATTTAAATACTTATAGGTCTCGGATAGACTTTAAAGCATATAAAAAGTCTTTTAGTCAGTATTATATCGCATAAAAAAGTCGATTTTTTAATTCTTAATAAATTTAATTTGTTAATATATTTAATTAGATAACAAATTTGTAATTAACTATTATTATTTATTTATAATATTTTAGAATTGAACTAAGGAAAATTTTCAATAATTTTAAATTATTAAAAAAATTTTTAACTTTTTTCTTCTTAAAAATTTTTTAAATCAGTTTTATAAAAACTTATCCAAGGTCAATTCCAAGAAAAATGTTGAGTCAAATTATTAAAATGATTTTTAAGTTAGAAAAATTCTTAAAATTTTAACTCACAAGAATTTTAAGAAGAAGTCAAGCTCAAAAATAAATTTATAAAAATTATTCAAAACCAATTTTTTTTGTTTATATCCTGCTTTGGCATATCAAAATTCAATAAAAAAATTAATCGATCAGTCATTTTTTAAAATTATTAAATTACTTAAAAATAAACTAACAAGAAATAAGCAAACCGAAATATATCTCATTTTAAACTAAAGAAAAATTAGAAAAAGTCGCATTATATTAAAATAAGTCGAAAAAAGTCGCAATCATTGAAAAAAGACGAATAAAATCAAAATAGTCTTACAACCCAAGGCACAACAATTCAACCCCTAAAAATATTTTAAAAATATATGTTTTAGGTGCGCAATACCAAATCTTTATAACAGAAGACGGAGATTTTAGGGGTCTATTTTTTTCAACTGAAGCCATGAAAATTTGCATGAATGCATATGGAAAGATGATTTTTGTTGACGCTACATACAAATTGTTAAGCATAAAAGCTGCAGTTTATTTAGTCATTGTAGAAGACTCAAATGGAATAAGCGAAATAGTAGCTGTTTGCATATTGATGTACGAGGACAGAAATTCAGTTACATGGTTTTTTGAAACCTTCAAAAGCTTTAATAATTGAGTCTACAAATGCTATGTTGAAAAAGACTATTTAATTGAACAGCTCTCTGGAAGCATTTGTTGAATCATTTTTTAAAGTTATGTGTTCGCAACGGATAAATCGAGACCAGGTTATGGCCACAACCGTTTTAAAGAAGAAAGTGTCACATTTTGAAAAAGGATCGCCGGAAGAAAAGTATTTGAGTGTATTGACAAAATATGCTTTTAATCGTGTGAACTGTGAAATGGAAGCAATGAAAAAGGTAAAGCAGGCCTGCCTTGAGCATTACGGAAGTACTTGCGATTCATGTTCGTGCCAATTTTCCATTTCAATGAGACTGCCATGCAGGTAAAATAATTAAACATATATATTTTTTAAGAAAATTTTCAATTTTTTTAAAATTTACGGGGTTGCCACAGATTAGGGAAGTCAGGGAAAAAAATTAAATTTTCGTTAAAACTCTGATTTAATGTATAATGTTTTTTTACAGACACATTTTTATTGTAAGAGATCAGCAGAATTTGAATTTATTTGGCCAGAATCTATTTGATAAGCGGTGGGGCAAAGATTATTTTATACAAGTTTGTTCAGAAATGCAGTCAGCAGAAAGTCCTATTTTAAATAGTCAGGATGTGATATCTGTTACAACTTCCAAGAAAACTTTAACGAAAAATCAAAGATTTAACCAGGCCTTAATTTTCGGACGTAGTTTAGCTGATTTTGTAGCGGAATTTACAGGAGATATCTATGACCAATTTCTTGCTGAGATGATGGAATTATTAACTAAATGGAAAATTGAACTTGGATATATCGATCAGGCACATTCTTCAAAAATTCAGCAAACATCAAAAGAAAGAGAATCAACGAGTCAACCTTCTTCCGAGAGTCAACAAGAACCAACATTTGATGATGAAGCACCTTCTTCCGAAATTTATCATGAACCAGAATCTGATGGCCAAGTACTTTCTTTCGAGGGTCAACAAGAACCAACATTTGATGATGAAGCACCTTCTTTCGAAATTTATCATGAACCAGAATCTGATGGCCAAGTACTTTCTTTCGAGGGTCAACAAGAACCAACATTTGGTGATGAAGCACCTTTTTTCGAGGGTCAACATGAACCAGCTTATGATGATGAAGCACCTTCTTCCGAAATTCATCATGAACTAGAATCTGATGGCCAAACACCTTCTTCTGTAATTCAAGAAGAACCAACATCTGGAGTGGGATTACAAATAGTGACAGCGCTACGAAGATTTCGCTACGTAGCGATTCAAAGCTACATTCACTTTAAAAAATTTTCTAGCTATCGGGTGACTAAAAAATAGTATCATTTTGATAAATTTAGGTTGGTACAATTGTTTTTCTGTGTATTTTTTTTCTCATATTTGCTTTATTTTATAATTTAACAATTTTTTTTTGGAATCAAGAATGTATCAAATTCATAAGGATTTCCCACGATGAAGAAATGAAGCAATTTAAAGAAGTATCTAAAAGACTGACAAATTTTTCAAGTGTAACACTTCAAATCTCAAAAGTTATAAAAGGCAATTCGAGGCAATGATAATTATTAATATTATTATATTAACACTTTTATTTCCAATTTCTATCCTTACAAAAAATCAAGAAAATAATTCAACTTTATCCAATAATAATAAACTATTTACTTTTCTTTTTTATATTAATAATTAAATATTTATTTTTTTAAATTTAGGCTGGTAAAGAATATCCTAATTTTAAATCTCATGCAATTATTATTTTTAATTCTTGCAATAAGATTAATTTTCTTAATTTTTATTTATTGAATTAAATTAAAAAAATTTATTTCCTTTATAAATTATTTTAACATTAAACTAGATAATTTATTTTTCAAGTTGTTATTTATTAAATTAATAGGTTATTTGCAATATTAAAGTATAATTTATTTCGTCACTAGTTGATTATTTTATTTGAAAGTAACAGTTGGCAAACATGAAGTTAGAGAATTGATTCCACCTTCATGTTGCATTTGTTTGCTACATAGATAAAATATTTTAGGAAATTGACATGAATTCTATGTCAATGTCCTTATTTAGAGGGGTTATGTTTATAGTTTCTTCTAAATTACCATCTTGCAGTTTAAGCTTTGAAGAAATTGTCAACGGTATTTTATTTTGGCCATGATTTGGAACAAATTTCACTAAAAATATGTAAGTTTTTAATTCTAAATAACAAAAAGCGCTACATAGCGACTAGCGCTATTAGTAATCCCACTGCTGATCTGCTTAATCTTAAATGCGATGAGCATGCATCTATATCAAATGCTCAACCAAACACAGACAATCATCTTGAATATGATCATCAAGAATTTTCCGAAATTCCACTTAGGTCAGCAGTTTTACAAAATTATATTTTATACCCTTCTTTAAATTTTATATTGTTTAAATTTTGTCTAGAGTATTAAAAAATAATTAGCTACTTTTTAATTAAAAATTATTTAATTTATTAAGCATTTAAATAAAACTTTAAATTATTCTTAAAAAGTCTTTTAGTATATAAAATTATATAATAGATATATTAAAATAAATATAAATTAAATAAAAGTATTAAATAAAAATAATTTTTTATTTCTCATTAAAAATTATTATTTTCTTATTATTATATTCTTTACCAGCCTAAATTTAAAAATTGATAAATTTTTTAAATTAAATTAATTATTTTTTAATTTTTTAATTAAATTAATTTAAATTTTCATTTTTTGAAAAACTCTTTAACTCACAAAAAATGCCCTATACATTTTTTTAGTGAACCTTTGCGTGAGAACAAAAATTCTATTTCTGAGGTTATATCTACAAAATTTTTTTAATTAAATTTTTTTTTCCATTTTAGACAATGTCTAATAGAAACTTTTAATCCTATGTAAAAGATAATAAATATAAATTCAATAAATATTTAATTATTAATATAAAAAAGAAAAGTAAATAGTTTATTATTATTGGATAAAGTTGAATTATTTTCTTGATTTTTTGTAAGGATAGAAATTGGAAATAAAAGTGTTAATATAATAATATTAATAATTATCATTGCCTCGAATTTCCTTTTTATAACTTTTGAGATTTGAAGTGTTACACTTGAAAAATTTGTCAGTCTTTTAGATACTTCTTTAAATTGCTTCATTTCTTCATCGTGGGAAATCCTTATGAATTTGATACATTCTTGATTCCAAAAAAAATTGTTAAATTATAAAATAAAGCAAATATGAGAAAAAAAATACACAGAAAAACAATTGTTGATGATACAATATTAGTCATACCAAAAGATCGAATTAATGACGTACTAACAATTTTCAATGCTAAATTTAGCAAAATTCAATTCACTCATGAAATAGAAAACAACAATGAAATACCGTTCCTAGACATCAGAATCATAAAAAAATGGGTTTTTGATAACAAATTGGTACCAAAAACCAACTTGGTCAGGAAGATACCTGCATTTTGATTCCATTTAACCATTAAGATACAAAAAAAATGTTATACACAACTTGACAAACAGAGCCATCCTTCTTTCTCACAAAAAGTTTCACAACAAAAATCTAAACTTAATATCACAAACACTCGAAAAAAATGGTTACCATTCCAATTTCATTAACAAAAATATTAAAAGTAGGTTACAAGCTATTAAACTCAAACAAAAAAACAACATACCTGCATTACAACCACATATCAACTGTCCAACACAACAAACTACACAAAATAACATGTCACAAATCAATAAATTTATTACGACACCGTACATACAAGGTCTTTCAGAAAAAATCTCATCGATGCTAAAACACTACAACATACGAGCATCCTTCACAAATCACAAAAATTTATCTTCCATCTTGACTAACAACAAAGACACAATTTGTAAAGATCTAATGTGCAATGTTGTTTATTCTATTCCTTGCTCTGGATGTTCTTCTTCTTACATTGGACAAACAATACAAAACTTAAAATATAGATTATCACAACATAAAATAGATTATCATAATCCAATTCACAAAGAAACCTCACTTACAAGACACCTTCAACAATTTAATCACCAATTTGACTACAATAGTACAAAAATTTTGGACAAAACTACAAATTACAGAAAATGCATGGTTCTAGAAATGACAAGAATAGTTACTTCTGATTGTGTAAACGAACGAACTGACACAGAAAATCTATCTGAACTTTATTTACCACTGTTAAACAAATCCCTTACTACATAAATCACTATATTCTACCTAAATTAAATAAAAAATAAAAAAAATAGGAAAAGAACTAGGCGCAATTGCGCCTACATCTAGGGTTTCGTGGCGCTTTAAATTTTAATGTCAACTACTGGGACATGTCAACTATAGGCACATGTCAACTATATGGACATGTCAACTATTGGGACATGTCAATTACTGAGACAGGTCAACTACTGGGACCTGTCAATTATAGGGGCATGTTAACTAATGGGACATGTAATGTCCATTCGGGAAAATGTCCATTCAGTAAATGTAGATTTGGGATCTGTGGGGCCCCAAAATTTGAATTTGGGAGCTATGGTGCCCCAAAATTTGATTTTGGGATCTGTGGTGCCCCAAAATTGGAATTTGGAAGCTATGTTTGCCCAAAATTTGAATTTGGGATCTGTGGTGCCCCAAAATTCGAATTTGGAAGCTATGTTTGCCCAAAATTCGAATTTGGGATCTGTGGTGCCCCAAAAGTTTAATTTGGGATCTTTGGGGCCCCAAAATTTGAATTTGGGATCTGTGGTGCCCCAAAATTTTAATTTGGGATCTGTGCCCTAAACTTTGATTTTGGGTGCTGTGGTGCCCCAAAATATACTACGGACAGACGGACGCCAAAGTGAAACTATAAGGCTTTCGGCCATGGGCCACGAAACCCTAAAAAAGAAATAAATAAAAATTTATTCTGAGAAATAGTATATCTCAAGTATCGCAAAAGGAAGAAAAAGAAAGAGGGAAGGCCAAAAAAAATAAAATAAAAAAATAAATAAAATAAAATAAACTAAAAATGAAAAAAAATAGGGAAAAAAAGTGTACTGTCAAAATGTATGAACACATATGTTCGTAAATACTGTCTTCATCCTGAAAAGAGTTCAATAGATATTAAAAAAAGGGACTGTGACTAATTTTCCGTGGTCCTTAGGTCAGTTTCCTCTTTCCTCTTCCTGAGGAAAGATCTATTTCAAATTTCGATTTCTAAAAAATGTTTTGTCAAATATTCATCATTTTCAAAATATCAAAAGTTATTAAAATTAACAAAAACTCAAAAGTGTGTGTTGAAATGTGTATCGCAACGCTTACCAAAGGACTTACATCCAAAAAAATGTTATTAAAATCTAAAAAATAAGGTTAGTTGACATTCTTCCGTACAAAAATCATTTTAAATTCCTTTATACTTGAGATTAGTAATACAAAAAATTTATTATAAAACACAAAAAAAACATTTTTAATTCAATAACTTATAAGCAAATTGAAGCAAATTACAACATACAGTCGAACCTGGATAAGTGACATCCCAAGGGACCAACAATTTTTTATCACTTATAGAGGTTTTTCATTAATACAGGTTTTCACTTACAGAGGTCAAAGTGCGGTCTCTATCACTTATAGAGTTTCTCGCACTTATAGAGGTTCAAGCATAACTGCGTTCACTTATAGAGGTTTTGACAAATCAAATTAACAATGCGAAATTTACTAAATTCATTCATTTATTTATTTGAAAAAAAGTGTTATCAGAAAATGAATCGTTTATTTACATAAATACTAATTAATTAATTGAATTAAAAAAGTCTGTCAATTTTGTTTGTATTTTGGTTACACTCTTATTAACATAAGTTTCAATTTCATAAATTTTATCAAAAATAGATTGATCAATATTCGTCGAGAATTCAAAAAATCTATGGACCGTATCCAGAGCACTTCCTGCAAATTGTTTTATCATTCACGTTATCTTTATAATATACTGCGACAAACTTCGCGAGATTTTATAATATTAACTAGCTGTCGCACCCGTCTTCGACGGTTATAATATTTAGATTTAATAAATTTTGAAATTTATAATTACATCCAATTGAATCTAATTTCAAAGAGTAAAAAAGTAATTTTCGATTTTTTATTTTTACAATATCTGATTTCATATTCAGATTTGCAATTATTAATTTTAAAATTCTGATAAAATTCTTAAAATTTCTTGTTAAAAGCATACTTAATTGGTCACAAAATTTTAAATAAAGAACGTTTAGTAAAGAATTATCAAAAAATAAAAAATGTTAAATTTTTTGAAAGTGTCATATTTTTGTTTAAATTAATATTTTTCATTGGTGTGCAGCTAAGATTGCGTTTAATACCCAACAGACTAAAAACATTATTGTTTTACTTATAAAAAGTTGAACATAACGAATTCTTATATTACAATGTTATTAAAAAAATTGGAAATTCAAAAATTTGATTTAGACTTTTAAATTCAGACTATTTACTTAATT